CATATTTTACTTCTGGAGGCCACATAGTTTTGTGACAGTTGAGAGAACAGATGTAGCTGTAGATGATTGACTGCACCTGTGTTCTGATGAAAACTTACTAATAAAAACACTCATCCAGCAGGTTGTATTTCCCAACCCTTGGATTGTAGTCTGATACTAGCATCCAGTCATGTTGTTACTTCTCCATTTCTGCCTTTGGTTAAGCACTGGATGGGAGAACTTGTTCACCCTTTAGGTCCTTCAAATTGCAGGCATAAACATAGAACTCCATTGTTCACCCCATCAAAAAAAGAAAAATCATTTTCAAGGGTTATTTTTCTTTGAAAAATTTTTCTTGAAATTTTAGAATCATCAGTTCTCATTTTAATTTCTTAAGCTTGGTTTAAATATGTATCATTTTAAATCAGTTTTATCCCACTTATCCACCAATGCTACTTTTCTCAAGGAGATATTTTCCTTAAAATAGTGAGCCTTTTTCTTAGTAATGTACAAAGAGCATAAAGGGCCTTGAATCATACAGACAGCTTTTGCTTCCATTACTTTGTTGGGCCAAACATCATCCATGAGACTGTCACCAGCTTGTGTATTTTGTGCACTTGAGTAGTCACTGAATTTAGCATTAAAATTCTGAGTTAAAGTTTCATGCTTGGTTCTGCTCTTTGTAGGCAAACCAGTATGTTACCATTTGCAAATCACTTGTTCTTTCTCTCAGCCTTAGACTCTACTACCAGTTAAAAAAAAAAACTTGTGTTCTTATCATAATATAAATTCTTTGTGGGGTAGGATATAAAAATTCATGTGAGTTTGTAAGATAAAATAGATTTCAAAGATGTTTTTTGTTATAGCACTTTCTGTGTAGGTATGGCTCTTGAAAATCATAACCACCATCATCACAACACTGATCCTAGGGAGAGAGTGTGTAATCACGATTATATGTCTGTGTATTACCTGAGTTTGGAAAGAACTGTGTGGAGAAATTAAAAGGCTCATATGAGATATACCCCCAAAATGCTTTAGAAGATAATATGAATTGTAGCTTTTCTTAGATGCTTATGAGAATTTTAACTTCTTGTAGTCACGTTATTCAGGGGGCAAATCTATCCTGCTTTCAGTCCTTAAGTGCATCCTTCTGGCTGGAATCTAAAAATCTATTGCCTACCTTACCATACCATTCTTGCTTTTTTTTTTTTAATTGAAGAATAGTTGACATACAATTTGATAATAGTTTCAGGTGTACACGGTAGTGATTCAGTAATTGAATACATTACAAAGTGCTCACCACGGTAAGTGTAGTTACCATCTGTCACCATACAAAAATTATTACAATATTTTTGACTGTTCTCTGTGTTGTGCTTTTCATCCCCATGACTTAATTTATAATTGAAAGTTTGTGCTTCTTTATCCACTTCACATCATTTACCCATCCCATTTTCCCATTGCAACCATCAGTTCTCTGTATTTATGAATCTCTTGCAATTTTGTTTGTTCATTTGTTTTGGTTTTTTAGATTCCACATAAAAGTGAAGTCATATGTTTGTCTTTCTCTGTCTTTTTTCACTTGGCATAATACCCTTGAGGTCCATCCATGTTGTTGCAAATGGCAAGGTTTCATATTTTTTATGGCTGAGTAGTAGTCTATTCTGTGTGTGTAATATTCTACCTTTATTCATTCATCTGTCAGTGGATACTAGTCTGCCTCCATATCTTAGCTATTGTAAATACTACTGCAATAAACATAGAAATGCATATATCTTTCTGAATTAGTGTTTTTGTTTTCTTTGGTTAAATACCCAGAATAACTGGGTCTTATTTTGAGGAACCGCCAAACTGTTTTTCCATAGTGGCTACACCATTTTACATTCCCACCAACAGTGCATGTAAAGTAAAAGGTTTCTTTTTCTCCACATCGTCACCAACATGTGTTACCTCTTTTTGTTACTAGCCCTTCTAACTGATGTGAGGTGTGATATCTTACTGTGGTTTTGATTCACATTTCCATGGTTTGTGAATAAGCATTTTTCCAGAGAAAACCTCCAGATGGCTGTAGACATGAGAAAAGATGCTCAAATACCGCTAATTATCAAGGAAATGTAAATCAATCCCATGGTTTTTATAAAACCCCTTTTACTTAGTTTTTGAATCCATTTAAGAATCTGTTTAGTTATTTACCAAAATATCTGTATCTTAGTCTTGTTTCTCTGTTCCTGAAGTTTTCAGCGGTTACTTTTGCTAAGTGATCTAAATAAATCTATTTCATGCAATGTGGAATTGGTTCCTACTCAAAAAGCTCCTGTGTCTGCAAATGGCTTTTCTCTTAAGAGATGATTCAGTTTTTTCCTAACTCTTAAGTCTTAGGGTAGTGTATCTTGATGTATATGCTTTTTAATTATTATGTTATGTCCTCTTAAAACACATATACTAGACCTAACAGCTAGTGGACAATGTCTGTCAGGTTGGTGGAAGACATAGCATTTCTTCAGAGATAAGAGCTTAATTGGGTGCTTTTCAGTTTTTGAATTTTCATTGATGTTAAGAACAACACTAAAGTAGGTAAATTCCTGGATCTTAACATCAGTAAACCTTATTCATACCTTAAGTTTATAGAGTACCTATCATGTCTTTTAACAAATCTTTATTGTGATACTTTTATTTTACAGATGTAAACATAGACCATCTTGCTCAAGATTCTTTCAAATAAATGTCAGGGCATCTAACCCAGGCTTCTTAATGGATTATTCTAGGTTCATTTCAGTCAAGAAGATTGGCCTTTTTTCTGTTGCTGTCAACATGCTTATGGAAATTTCCATAGATACCTCAATTCTGCTAGTAGTATATGAATATGGTATTCTAGTAGTCCATATTACTAGTTTTGTTTCCTATTTGTTTTCAGCTGTAAACCTGATTTTTTAGAAATTTTTATGAGTTACATCTGAAAAGTATAAATTTCAACAGATAAAAAAATTTACAGACTTGGAGTAGTGATATTTCTTTGTAACTCCGTGTGCTGGGGACCTCACACCCCTTCCAGGTTTGGGATTCTCTAAGAGGACCTCCAGGACCCAATATATAGTCAATATGGCTATGACTTATTACCGTGAAAGGATATGAAACATAATTAGCAAAGGGAAAGGAATACGGAGCAGAATGGAGAAAACCAGGTGCAAGCTTCCAAAAACCTCCCAGTAGAGTTACACAAGATACACTTAAATTCCTCCAGCAGTGAATTGTGATGCCACTTGTGAAATGTCTACCAGGGAAGCTTATTAGAGATTTACTACCCAAGGTTTTTATTGGATTTGGCTTGTTATATAGACACCTCTGCCTAGAACATACCAGAAGTCTGGAAATGCAGGTGTTGAACATAAACCATACTGTCTGCACAAACAGCTTAGGCAAAATGAATAACTCTTGTCAGTTATTGTTGCAGCCACTCTCCTGAAATCCAGGTTCATTTATGCCAGCCAAGAGCCAGCTGTGCAAGCAGGCCTTTCTAAGGATAGCAGTCTTAGGTATACCTTGTTCACTTTCCTGCACACTGATCTTATTTATTCTTCGCTGATTGCCTCTTGAAACGTTTATTAAAGGATTTGTTGCCTGGTATATTTAAAAAAGTTGAGGGTGTTTTATAGAAAGATGTAACATACAGCAAGATCAAATTAAAAACAAGTAGGTGAAACCATCAGGCATCTTAAGGAGCAGCTTTTTGGGAAATTTCCTCTGTTGTACTACTTACCTAGTGTTGGGTACTTAAGTAACTCCTTTGACTTTGTCAGGTCACTAGCTTTATTGGATCTTGGAATCTGCTGCTAGCTTCCCTAATAAGCCGGCCTGTATTCAAGGTTAAATCTTGGTCACTGCCTTTTCTCTTCAGATATTTCATTCTGAGCTCATAATGCTTGTTTATTATATGCAAGGCAAAGTTAGAGTCCCTTACCTTTTCCCTCTAATGGAAGAGATGTCTGGATCTACTTTTGAATTCCTAGTTCAGTGTTAATCTGTTGACCATTTCCTCTTGGAAATCTAAAACCTTACAGTCATCTTCTGTCTGTCCCAATCCACCTTTCTCATCCATTTAGTTTTTCCTGTTAATTGAAATAGTTAATTCTTAACTCATTTCTAAATATAACAACTCTGGTTCTGGCTCTAATTCCTGGACTGCTTGACCATTTAAATTGTTTTTCACATTTGAATTTTTTTGTTCATTATAGTATAGCCTCTATACATTGCCAGCTCAGCAAAACAAAAAAAAAAGGGTTGAATTATGTTACCCTATTGCTGAAAAATATGTGGAATTGAAATACCAACAATTAGACTTTGGTGGTGAACCTTTGTGTATCATTAGTGCTTTTGCAACTCTGGGTTTTTATACATTGGCTTTTCTTAAGACAATAAAAACTGTTATCCCTGATGGCTTAGCCATGTAGATTATTCATGAAACTATGAGTTATTTTTAAGCAATTACTAGAGTTGGTGCTATTATTAGGCAACCTGGTGGTATGTTCTTAACTGAGACTTAGCTTTGAAAATTTGATACTGTTTTAGTTGAAAAATTGGCAAAACTCTTGAAAAGCAAGTTGTGGAAACTAAGACATTGAAAAATTATTACAAGAACATACTGGATGATTGTGACTTATAGTTAATTCTATCTCAGTGGAATTCTTATGCCTTTTTTCTTTATGTTGTTTCTGTCTTTCCCTAATAATTGAATTCTAAAACCATATACAAGTTGCAAAAAATGGTAATAGATGAGGTTTTGCCCATTTAATTATAAATAACATTGTTCATAGGATGTCAGCCATGCAGTGTATGTGCTTTAAGCCACATCTTTAGTAGGCCCACAGATACTTTATATATGAGAAGTATGAATATGTATAGATTTCTGATGCTTATGTAAATTGATGATTTAGGAACGTACAATGGTCTGTAGTATCTTAGAAAGCAGTTTAAATTAAACATGAAATACAACTTACAATTCACTTTGCTTTCTATATTTTTTTAAGGGACCAGTTACTCTCCACAAGAAAATTCACACAATCACAGTGCTCTTCATAGTTCAAATTCACATTCTTCTAATCCAAGCAATAATCCAAGCAAAACTTCAGATGCAGTAAGTATATAGACATGCCCCCCACCTTTTTTTTCAATTTTAAAATTGTAATCACAGTTGACCTTTTCTTAATGTGTATGAACTAATGAGCTAAATTTATTAGTAGAGGTGAGGATAGTCAGAAGGTATCATCTTGGTATTATTTAATCAGCATTCCTGTACAGAGCAGATTTTTACCATGGTAATATCTGAGATTTAAACAACTTTAAATTGTGAAACTTCTATAGTTATTTAAAGTCATTTAACTTGAGCTTGCTCTCTTTCCATAAACTTCTTATAGTTGTATATATTTATTGAGTATCTACTGTGTGTTATACACTCTATCAGACACTGATGGTGTAAAGGTTCCAGCCCTTAAGGCATGAAACCCACTGAGGAATTTTAGGTATTTCTAAAATGAAGTAACTGTTAAAGTAACTTATTAACTCAGTTCGAATTTTTTAAAGTCAAGATTCAAATTAAAGTTCTGATACATTCATTGAGCAAAGATTTACTAAGGTTTCAATTTGCCAAGTACATGCTAGGTTATAGATATATAGAACTAAGAAAATGTGGCCCATCTCAAAGGAACTTTCAGACCTGGTAAAGACCGAAAAGTACATGATTAAAACTATTACATGTTAAAGTTGCTTTGAGAGCACTCAAGGGGGTCACTCCCAACTTGGCTGAGGAGGGTATTAAGTATTAAAGTATAAGCAGTGCTACAAATAAAAATGAGCCAGTCGAAGAGGTCTGAAATTGTGTAGCATTCAAAGGAACAGCACCTACAAAGACACGGTGTGTGAAATAGCATAGTGTTATTTGGAGAATTGCAAGGATTTTGTTAGTGTGGAAGAATGGCAGTAGCTTAGGTTGCAGAGATAAGTGGGGGGCAAGATCACAAAGAATTCTGTATCTTGCCAAGGAATGTGAATTTTATATAAAGGTAGTAAAGAGCTATTAAAGGATATAGTAATATGGAAGGAAAAGAAAAACTAAAGGCTCTTGAAGTATAGGGAGAATCCAACAAGTTATACTGCCGTGGGTATTTGGGTGATCATCATACTGTAATCAGCATTGAGAGAGACCCTCAGGGTTTATTAGTTCCTGTCTCTTGGTGAAGCTGTGTGGGTAGTACATTTCCATAGAATATTGAGACATCAATGGTAATACAAAGACAAATTTTAGAGCGGTTTTAAATAGTGTATTGGAGTCCAGTTAGGAAAACAGAAACCATACTATTTTATTTTAGCACAGAAAATTTAATAACAGAATTTTTATATACAGGATTGGCTAAGCAGATATTGAGGACTAAAAAAAGAAACCCTGGGTAACATATATAGAGATCCCACCTTAGGGCTGGGGTATAATTAGAAGAGGTTGGGATTATCAGCACCTGATAGTCTAGAGAAGGAGCCCGGCAGAGCTGTGGCAACACCTGAGTGGTATGAAGTTTGTTTTGGTTTGGGGCACATAGCCAACAGCTGGAAACTGGAGACCTGTTCACTGCTAGGCTTCTCCTTTCCTGCCTGTCAGCCTTGCTCGAATGTCCACCATTGGCTGAATCTAACAGGAAGCCAACTGGCCAAATAGAATGTAATTTGCATTATCCTAGCCCTAGCATCTCAGAACAGAATATAAGAAGGGTAGTAATGAGGCTTAGACAACAGCTTGATAAACATTCCTAGGTGTTATCATTAAACTGCCTGTGATGAGTCATTTTTAATAAGATGTAATTAATACTCAAGATTTCAGAAAGAATCTTTTCTATTTTTGTGAAAAATGGCCCCATTAATTTTCAAAGTAACTATCCTAAAGTTCCATTTATTACTGACAATTCAGATTTGGTATTTGCTATTAGGACAATAAAGGGCATGTAAATATTGTTTTGGTTTGAAAAAAACAAATCCTTATTCAGGGAAAATAAAACTCTTAATTTTGATTTTCAAGAAATGGGTTAACATAGTAGAATCAGAAAGAATAAAAAGATGGGCATTCCAATAAGCTCAAAAGTCCCAAATCATAAAGGGTATCGAGATTTCATTATGTGAGTGGAAACTGAAGTCTGTTGCCAGAATGAATTAAATGTTGCATGTTTTCCGAATTGGAGTCTCTGTACATTTCAACTGTAGGTATATAACTTCCAAATAGTAGTTTTTTTCATTATAGTGTACCCAGTGAGCATGATACATACATCATTTACAAACCATAAATTTAATCCTTCCTGAGAAGTAAGCTTTTGGACATTTCTGAAGGTTTCTTGTAAAATGATATTTTCTTTGTCTTCAAACCACTTTCAAGAAGGAAAATTTTCAAGACGTAAAACATACAATTAGTTCTCATCTAGCATTTTCTTAAGGAAACAGTAAATGACCAAATGGGTGTTAGGTAACCCAGGTTAACACATTATTTTAACCTAGCTTAAAATGTGGAATAGCTTATTTTAGGTGTTTTTTTTTCTTCCCTCACTGAGGTTTTCAGGTTTTAAGTCCGTCTTTGAAAATCAGTAACAATATTTTTTAGAGGTATCTGCCCAGATAAGGTTGTATGGATGGTTTACATTTATCAAGTCAGCTGTTGAAAGTTGAGTTGAAATTGCCTCATTTTTTCGTATTAGATTAACACATTCATGTGTTGTTACCTGCTATGTCCTATCATGTATGTTTGTCCTATGATGTACATTTGTTGTGGTAGATTTAGCACAGAGCCTAGCCCATGGTAATTATTTAGGGAAAACTTGCTGAATACCTCCTTCCTAATCTAGATCATAATAGGACTTAGAGACATTATGTAGACTCTTTACCATTAGTTATGCATATTGGTGATTTATTTTTAAGCACCTCTGAATTTATTTAGAAAAATATCCCATGTAAAACATGTAACTGTGGTCTTCCTTTCTAAATATCCTTTAATTTTCATTTGCTGGGGAGCACTTTAAATTCAATCCTAAATGACTGCATTTATATTCCAGCTCCTCTTATAATCAATTAAATATCTTCTGCATATTTTAGAGCTTTTAAGCTTGAGGCTATCACAATCCTCTGTAAACTACTCCACTTAATTATTTTTAAAAAATTATCAGAGAACTCTTAGGACAGTCACAGGTCATGGAAACGTTTTGGTTTGAAAAAAACAAACATTTATATCCTCAGGTACTGAATTTCTTGATTTTCCTGTTGATGTTATTGAATGAACTTCATTGGTAACAATTCATGAATAAATACCAAGATGAACTGTTTTTTTTTACATAGTTTAATTTAGGCAATAGTGGGGACTTCTATTTTGGAGAGGGAGTGGAAAGGAGGGAGATGCTTTTTAAAAATTTTTTTAATAGAAGAGAAGAGCAGTGTTCACATAAGAGTTCTAAAAGACATTTTGAATAGAAGGAGAACAGAGCAGATAGAAGTATGAAAATGCCCTTTTAGAGCAGGCATTTTCATACTTACTGGTTTGAAAACCTATGCATTCATGAAATTGAGTTTTTGTTTAAGTGGACTCCCATCATATTTACCATATTAGAAATTAAAACTGACAAATTTGAAAAATACTTAAATAATTAAATTCATTTAAAAATCAATAATAAGCCTATTACAAGTCAGCATATGGGATATATTTTTGTGAAAAATAACTTTCTGAAACAAAGGACAGCAAACATCTCTTTGATGTCTATCTTAACAGAAGAAGAAACCTAAAATTATCTGCTCTGCACTCAACCTTTTGTGATATCAGATTTCCTATATAGCATCTGGGAAAGTTCCACTGTGTTCTTGTGATAGAATTAGAAGCAAAAAAGGCAAAATCATCTTAACATTATGAAAATAGTGTTGATCTTGTGAATGATCTTGGGCCTCCAGGTTTCCTGGACACCACATGGGGAACTGCTGCCTTAGAGCATGTGTTGGCAACTATATCAAGCCTAATTTAGGAAACTTGCAATATTTGCAGGCCTTTTGTTTTAGTTCTTAGTTTTAGGTATTTTTTTTTCCTAAATCAAGAAATTCACTACCTGAGGATATAATGTATAACATGGTGATAGTAGTTGATAACTAATAATGTAATTGAAATTTGCTCAGAGTAGAACTTGAATGTTCTCACACAGAAAAAGTATGAAATGTGATGGATTTGTTTGTTAGATGGCAGTCCTTTGACAGTGTGTATGTGTATCAAGTTATTACAATGTACACTTTAAATAGCTTAGAATTTTGTTGGGTATACCTCCATAAAACTGAAAAAATACAATGAAAAGAGTTTAATGTCTACTCTTACATATCAACATTTTAAAAATTACCCCATTACTTAGGGTTTTTTTCCCCCCCCTTAATCTTTTCTTGAGGCTGCAATTGGGATGAAGATAAGCTAAGGGTACTGGTATGTGATTGTAGTGCTATACCCTGGAACACATTTTATTAAGACATTAACTTGTACTAATCTGAGATTCGATGGGCAAAGTCAGATCTTCAAGGTTCTGGTCCGTGAATTTTTAACTGTCCTGGTGCTTGTGCCAGAATGTAAATTAACTGTTGTTAAATACACTGTTTAGTTGAGCTGGATTTTTTTTTTCCCCTTAAAGCAAGACTTGGCAAGGGAAGCAGTGTGTTGATATGTATTCTGATGCAAGCTCCTTACCTCCTCCAGGTCATGTAACAGTTCACAAAACCATCACTTTGAAGAGCACTGGTCTAGACCACTCTGATCTACTCTGATGCCTTCTGTCCACTTGTTTCAAATCTCATTCTCCCTCTTCAGACCAAACCATTAATCCCAAATAACTATTTGCCAAGTGAACCAAATCTTCCGTAGAAGGGCTCAGTTTGCATAATAATTTAGTTACAGGAAGTGGTAGGTGGTAGGAAAACATTTTTTGAATTTGGTTCTCTGTGATTGGGTTCCTCCAGCTTGGCGTCGCCTGCTTCTGGAAGCTAGAAGTATTGAGAATTAACTCTCCATTGATTTTAGAGGTTTGAAGGCACAGGGCTGATTTTTTGATAGCTTCTTTATTTTGAGACATAAACCTGAGAACAAACATATGGCAGAATCTGCAATACTCAGTTACTCTCAAAATTATGGCATTTCCAGAATTGGTGCTGGTTAGTGGAAATAAGGGATATCCGGATACCTGACTTTGATCTTCCTTCTATACTAAATATGTGACTATGGCCGACTTGTATGTTTTCTCAGCTTGTTTCCAGCCTGGTAAAATTAAAGCTGAGTAGGCAGGGCGTATATAATTCCTGCCCTCAAGCTTTAAAATCGCGTCACTCTACACTGTAGTGGTGAACCTGTAAGAAGGATAGGCTACCAAAGTATGGTATTTCATTTTAATTTCAAAGCTCCTTTGAAATAATAGTTAAGAAATTCATCTAGAACTAGGGATTCTGCCAGATTTCCTGGGGCCAGTGCAGGGATTTAATTTAAACGTTACAGTTTGAGAGCTGTTCTATGAAAACTGGACCTTTCAGATTATTCTAAATTCATTATAATTTTACAGTGCCTATAAAATAACAGAAGAGACTGTTTCTGAGACCTTCTGAAAGATCAGTTTTAGTTCTGGGAAAAAAAGTGATGCTGCTATGTGAGGCAAGGTCTAGTTCATATTTACCCCATCTCATGGATTTTGAAGATGAAACAAATTCATAGTTTTTAATTAGCTTTCTGTTTACCTCTTAAAATTTTTTGTTTTTTTTTTTTTTCACTAAGTAACAGTAAATATAGGCAGGTTGTTCTCTGGTACACTTTATGTGATTACTATTGTGCCTTGAAGAGTTTAGAACTGATAGGCTTTATATGCCATCAGATCAGTTGATTTGAAAGTGGTTTCCCTAAAACACCCCCCAACCATGTGACTGGATTATAGCAATTTAAATTATAAGGAGATTTTGTAATGCTTTTCTGCAGTTAAGATGTTAATTTCACATTTTTCTTCATGTGCCTAATAAACTAGTATTTGTTAATCTATTTAATTTGATATTTTACAGGATTTTCCATTTGTTATCTTTGAAGGTTTTGATAGGCTTAAGGGCTCCTAAGATATATTGCAGATAATTACATTCTAGATCAGGGCACCTATATCTATCTCATAAGTCTTCCCATATGTATGTTTTGAAAACCATTGACATCTTGATATTTCATATCAAGCGATTAAATAATATTAACATTTTCTAATTTTTAAAAATGTATTTTTTAGCCTTATGATTCTGCAGATGACTGGTCTGAGCATATTAGCTCTTCTGGGAAAAAATACTACTACAATTGTCGAACAGAAGTTTCACAGTGGGAAAAACCTAAAGAATGGCTTGAAAGGTATTTGCTTTTAATCTAATTGAAAAATATTTTTCTTCCTTAATTTTTCAGGTTAACATGTTAGAACATACTAAACATTCTAAGTTTAGGTTTCATATACTAATATTCAGTACACCCCTTTTTAATTGCAATGGATAATTTCTATCTTAAAAAAAACTAGGACATATAAGTAACTCTCCTCAAGAGCCTTGTAAACAGTCAGTATACTTAATTAAAAATTTTGTATCAGTCTACTTTATTCATCTTCCTCATAATGTGTAATAGAAATCTGTATAATTCTTATAGGACAATAATACATTTACTTCATGTAGAATTAATGTTGCAGAGTTTTAGTTGTAGGGTTAGTGGCATATTATATTTTTCCATCGGTGAGAAATATTAATGTTCTTCTGTTTGCTGCATTCCATTTTCCACACCAGTTAAATGATTTTAAGATCATGTTCAGTTCCTTTATTTTTCCATATACCATTCTTTTGAGTATTTGGTCAGAAGTGTTACATAGACTCATTGGACTTGATGTAATATTTATGGGCCTATGTATATTTTTTATTTAGAGAACAGAGACAAAAAGAAGCAAACAAGATGGCAATTAATAGCTTCCCAAAAGATAGGGATTACAGAAGGGAGGTGATGCAAGCAACAGCCACTAGTGGGTTTGCCAGTGGAAGTAAGTATTAAGTTTTTTCTTTGAAATAGTATGTTTGATTTCATTCTTACAGCTCATTTACTTTATAAATATGCATAGCTATTTGCATATGTAAACTAAAATAAATAGAAACATACAGGGTTTCTTCTATGTTGGATTTGTCCCCCTAACATCCATCATTTTATTTCCTGCAAAGGGAAAGGGCTGCAGAGTGGAATAGTACATGTTTGTATTCCTCACTACCCAGGGTTGCTATCATGTAGTAGAGTTGATGAAAAAAAAATTTACGTTGTGGATTTATTCCATTTTAAAACGGGGGTTTTTTGTTTTTCAGGTTTTTTAAATCTTGAATTGTGTCCTGTTAAGCTGGACAGCACTGAAATCCATTCTAAAAGTCACTGAGTGTTTCAATCTAATAATTGAATAATAGCCACACACAGATAGTGACATCAAAGTCCCTATTGATGTTTTGTGTTTATCAGTGAGAAACTTTATATTTGGAAACTGATTTCACCATGATCGTAGATCTATGTAACATCTCTGTATGTGGGCATACCTTAATATTCTTTTGAGGCCACATTAACATAGGTAATGAATACTTGTTTTTTAATTCAAATAATTAAATTTGAATTTCAAGCTTTTACTACTGGTATTCTATTTCTGGTACCTTCCCTTGCCCAGAATAAAAGGTTAATGCCACACAGAATTCTTTGGCTCTTTATCAAATTTTAAAATATTGAGCAGAATTTTAAGAAGATATGTGTTCTCGAAATTCTTAGACTTAAGTGTTTGACTCTTCCTCCAGTAACTCAAAAAGTAAGGGTTTTATATTTTTTCAGCAGAGGATGTTCTTTTTTTTTAATGGGGAAAATTGTTTAAGATGAAACAGTAACATAGTTCTACAGCACTGAAAGTTTAAGATGTATTCCTTGGAACATTTAATTCTTTGTATTAGTGAAATTGTACTTAATTCTTAGAACGCAAAGTGATTTAAAGTACTGAGGCTAGGAAATTAAGAATTGTATTTTGAGACACACGACTTGGGTTCTGGGTCCCATTTCACTTAATATCTTAGGTAAGTATGACTTCTGGCAAACAATTAAAATAAGATAAAGGTTTTCCTCTCTAGGTTAAAAAAATAAAAGCACCCAGCTTGTGAGCCTCCTGAACAAACTGCAAGTAGGGGGAGTACCCAGGGATACCAAGGAGAAGTGTCGAATGGGTATAGAAACAACAGCTTTTCTTTTTTTAGTTGTTGGGCCAGGCCTTTCCACTTACTGGCTCATGGTTCCCAGAGAAAAAAAAAGACCAGTGTAGTATGTTTACTGAATTCTGACAAGAATTACCTACTATTGAAGTCACTTGTCCTCCCTTAAGATAGGGTAAATGAAAAGGATAATTAGAGATCAGATAGAAATACTGATGGAAGTAAAAATACCTATTTCTGTCTTTTTAATAAACCATCTTTAAGGAAATAAAATTAGAGTTGGGTTTTAAAATTGTTTATGTACACCTTTCTCTTTAAAAAATGAAATAGGTTTTTTTCCCTTCATTTCAAAAGTAAAAAATTATAGGAAAAATGTTTTAATCCTATGACTAAAGAATATTTAGGGAATTTATTTTCTATGTGCATACAAATGTATATAAAATTACATATATAGGTATTTTATACCAAAAATGGGGTTATATGTTTTTTAACCTTTCCTTTGTTCAGCAATATTTTAAGGATATGTTTTTGTGACACTTTATAATTCTGCATTATATTGACTGCATGGTGTTCCATATTTTGGATATACACTCATTTATATACTATATCCATGGATACTTGGGTGGTTTTTTAGTCTTTTTCTGCTGCAATAAATAATGTGATTCCTGTCTGATTACTTGCATGATTACTTTCTTAGCTAAATACCTAGAAGTGCAAATGATTCAATGGGTCTGTGTTTGTGTTGAAATATAATCATGTTATCACACTTTCTGAGTTTTTTAAGTAAAAAAAGTAAAGGGCCTTTTTATTTTTTCTTAAATTGGTCAGATGAGCTGTACTTGTTGTGATAGTAATAAAGTCACTAAGCCATTTCAGTGTTTAACTTTGTCTATCAAAAAAATGTTGGCAGAGTTTTCCCTTATTCCAGTACACCTGTGTTCATGTAGGGTAATTTGTAAAGTTTTGAAATTTGGAATTTTCAATAAAAAATTTGTATGTGGGGATTGGGAAGATTTTATATGTAAAGAGGTAAAGGTAGAAAATAGATTTCAGGGATTTTTCTTTTGCCAAGGTAGCAAATGTTATCCACAGCTTGACACTGAAAATGGTATGAATAAAATTTTGGTATTATTGCAGTTAGACTCTTCATCTTTAATCTGTGCCTTGTAGAGTGATTGCTCTATGGTTAGAGAAACTTGAACTTGGAGTTTCTCAACAGTAACACTACGGTATTTTGGGTCAGGTAATTATATTTGTTACAGGATGCTGACCTGTTTTGTAGAATGTAGAGCACCATACCTGGCCTCTACATACTGGATGCCAGTTGCACACACCCCCTCCCTAGTTATGACAACCAAAAATGTCTCCAGAAAAATGCCCGTGTTGGGTTGGGGGTGTGTGCAAAAAGAGTCAATGCTTTAACTGTGTTTTCTCTAGAGTTCTGAGTAGTAGAACAGCTTCTTCAATTTCTGTAATGCTAGTACCTTTTTTCCCCCAAAGCTTACAGATGTTAGATGTATCATCTTTAATTTTCATTTGAATACATTTACTTGACACATTTTGACTCTATTCATAGAGAACTGAAAGGGAATTTTCTTGACCAAGGAAATAAATGTTCCTGGTAATCAAGTGACAGGATTGGTGGGAATTGGGCATGGTGCTAACTACTATTATATCTGTCCCTAAAGCATTGTGTTATAGTAGTAGTCTTTTAGAAACTCTAGAATAAAAATTTTTAAGTTTTATGTGCATGCAAGTTGATAGTTTACTGATGAATTAATAACATGCAACACATGTTTGTGTTTTACTGTGTTAGCCCAGTCTGTGTGTTCATTTTGCTTGTAATGTACAGTGTAATCTATAACACCTAATTTCAGTTATGTCATTAAGTCAAAAGATTTTGTATTTTGATAGGATTGAAGTTTGTGGGCAGTACCCAGTACCTTTTGTTTTGGTGTGACACATGGGAGTTGTGTACTGGCAACTTGCAAACCGATAAATAGTTAAGCATACTTCCTTCCTTATGCTGTCTTGGTCTCTAGACTTGGAGGAACCCTGAATTGGAAAAAAAAAACCAGTATTCAACAGGGAGGGCATCCTTTGGTAATATTATCATTACATATCACGTGCTTGAATCTTAAGATGGTTTTCGGATGGAAGTTGGTTTAATTCTTAACAATTAGACTTAACTATTATGATTTAGGCTAGATATTTTTTGATAAATGTGAATTTTACTACCATGATTGTTGAAATTTTCCTTCTTTCGTGCTCTTGTGGAAGCAGAAGTACTTCTGAGTTCAAAATATTTTCGTGGCTTTAAATTGGAAGAGGATCTGTTTTTAATACAACTGGTAATAATAGCAAGTGGATTTTTCTGACTGCTGCAAGTATAGGACTTCTGTTATCAGATAGTATTATCTATAACTTGATTTTAAAACTAAGTCTGGTATTTATTAACTTTATTAAAAATATGATTATAATTTACTTATTGAATGCACAGCTCATCATAAATTCAGCAATCCCAAAATGAGGTCATAAAAGGCCTAGTACATAACAAACTACTTTAGAGTCCACTCATTCACTTCTTAGTGTTAAGAAAAATCAGTCTAATAAAGCTAATAGTCCTTTGTAGTTGAACCACTGTGGATAATTCAGTCAGTTATTAGAATCTGTGATCTGTATTTTAAAAGAATGGACCGTTTACTTTTTAAAAAAATATTTAAAAAATTTTTCATTTGATTTAAGTGTCATATGTAACTTAATATATTTATTTCTTTTGGTTTTGTTTTGTTTGAACTATGGTGTGGTTCTAAAGAATCCCTCAAAACTAGTAACCCATTTGAAATTTGAGTAATTAGCAATTACTCAGATTAGATTAGTGCCTAAGAGTCGAGCTGAATTTTTTTTTTCCAGTTTTGGATATTTATATGCTAGTGGTAAAACTGCAGACACTAACTGGGCTTGCAGTTTTATAAGAACATAAGTTTACAAGTATGTTGCAAAATTAGGTGATGTTAAAGACAGGATTCTAACGTAATCTTTTTTCTTCCCCCTTCCATCATTCCAACATCTCTTTTTTCGAACTGTGAACTAAAGTGGAAGACAAGCATTCCAGTGATGCCAGTAGTTTGCTCCCACAGAATATTTTGTCTCAAACAAGCAGACACAATGACAGAGACTACAGACTGCCAAGAGCAGAGACTCACAGTAGTTCTACGCCAGTACAGCACCCCATCAAACCAGTGGTTCATCCAACTGCTACCCCAAGCACTCTTCCTTCTAGTCCATTTACGCTACAGTCTGATCACCAGCCAAAGAAATCATTTGATGCTAATGGAGCATCTACTTTATCAAAACTGCCTACACCCACATCTTCTGTCCCTGCACAGAAAACAGAAAGAAAAGGTATGACATTATTACTAGATGCTGCACGTTGAACTGTAGTTTCTGAGTATATTTCATTATTTGTTAGCTTAAATAAGACTCATAAATTCTCAGTCTTGTAGAATGTTAATGCATAGGTTTAGGTCTAGAGTTAGCCATGTTTAGCTTTTTTAAACTTTCAATTATGAAGCCTCAGAACTGTTTTTTGCCTTTGACACTTTGAAGTCAAATGCTTTATTTAGAACAGTTAGTAATGGTTTAGATAACATATCAAAGCCAAATGGCTATCCCTTCATATTTGTGTAACCTTTGGTTTTTATGATAATTGTTCTGATGGTTCAGTTTAGAAATTGTCTCAATTTCTTATTAAGATTTACTATGACTAGAAACATTTTAAGATTGTTACTTCTATATAACATGCAACTATTGGTTTCAATTTGTGAATTAGAAAACTGAGTCATGGACCACAAGATAGAGTCTTAATTCTGAATTAGAACTTAAGTCTCAAGAGTAGAAGTTAAAATTTTGCAACCAAAATTGTGTTTATCTGACTCTGCTGATATCCATACAACGTTCAAAAAAGTTAAAAAAAAAATGGTGGCAATAGCCACTTGGGGGGTAGCAATATAACAGAAGAGTGATAAGTGTATTTGCATAGACCATCACAATCCTAAACTTACACTTTATCATGTGTTTTAAGGAACTAAGGAAACTAAAAGGTAGTAAATAAATAATCATGGGTAGACTAATTAGCAGATTAGCATCAGTAAATGTTGAAGAACTTTTAAAAGTCCTCTGGGATGAGAAGATAATTTATGGGCCTGATGAGTCTTTAAGCTTTTAATCTATTTATTGTCTGATTAATGATTGCACATTGATTTAATTTGTTGACAAAGGGTTCAAATGGATTTCTTTTGCTTCTGGTTTCCTCCTCTTTATGCACATTATTTGCATTTCAGTTGTAGCAGTTGTTAAGATATTACTCAACCACGTGCATTTACCATACAGTAGCACATAATCCATTAAGTAGGTTGTTCCAAATATCAATTTCACAAAGATGGCTTGGACCAAAATTCATACGTACAAGTCATATTTGCCCTGTTGCACAGTTAAATTTATAAAGAGAGTTCTTGGAGATTGGAATGAATGCAGTAATTGTTAATGTAGTTAGTACTTTCTAAATGATGTTATGATTTTCAGTTATTTTATTTTGATAAATTAGTCACAGAAAAACTTACTTTAAAAACCTTTGTCAGATAAGATCCTGTGGCCTTATGAGTCTTTCATTTCAACTATTGTTCATTTAATACTTTTTATCTTTTACCTCCTTTTGAAAAATTTTTTCTTTCCCAGGCTTCTGGGATACTAATGCTTCAATTCCTAGTTCTATTCTCTTCTTGTCCCTTACGTATCAGTATCATTCCATCTTTTACTATGCATTTTGTTTTGTTTTCTTGCTCAACCTGTCCTTATCTGCCTGGCAGCAATCTTGTGACTACCTTGTCTATATATATGGTTCTTAAACCTTCATTTGTAATTAATACATATATCTGCTTCCCTTCTGTAAGTAAGCATTGGTATTTGTTATATCTCCTCAGATATAATGTGTCCCAAATTCTTCCCTTTTCTCACAGTTTATTCTTACATTCTCAGTAAGTATCCCCAGCTGTTCCTTGCTCTTCAACATTCTTGTACACTTATCCACCATTGACAATTCATAAGTTCTTCCTCTTATGTCTTATTTATATATATCTTTTATCTTGTTAGTGCTACTGCCATTACTGAAACTCAGGGCTGTCTCTCAAAATAGCCTGATTACTGCTCTGCTGCCTTCCATCTATCTGCTTATGGTGGCATCATTGTAAAAATCAGATTAGATTGTATCCTTGCTTAAAATTTTTGAATCATTTGCCATTATACAAAGGATAAAGAGGATTATAGAGAATACTTGATAGTCTCGTTGTAGTGTGTTTCTTAAACTAGTTTGATCTCCACCATTCCACTTCTTACATTCCCTAAAATTCATCTGTTACAAACTTGTATATTTCTTAGAGCCTGTTATGCTCTTTCGTGTTTTAAGCCTTTGCTGAAAAGGACATGTTCTTTCCTCCATTCCCATCCTGTTGAATTCAAGTACTCTTTCTTTAAGAGCCAGCTCTGATTTCTGTATGTTCTCAGTGTCATTTAACCTTTCCCAGTCTGTATTTCCCAGACACTTTGTACTTTTGTATTTGCCTGTCACAGCTCATAACCCATTATAATTTTAGTCCCTACAATTATCCTCTTTAAGATTAGGTGTTATATTTTATTGCATTTTGTACTTGTTCACCTTCTATACTCTCCCTCCATGTTTTAAGCATCATTTTGGGCAAATTTAACATAAAAAATTAACTGTGTACCAAGTTTGGTGCTAAGTGTTTTTTATTTACATTTTAGTTTATTCCTTAAATATCACTGTGTGGGAAAGCATTGTCCCTTAGGTAAGAAGAGCCTGAACACTGCCACAGGGTAAAGACGAGGTGCAGAATCGGCTTCCTTAAAATTCATGTTCTTGCCATAAAACTGTAGGTATTGAAAGACACAACAAAGCTATATTAATCCAGACTCTACTAAGTCAAAATGTCTTGACAAATCAAAGATTCAGGTTTAAATCCTACAAAGTATGTTTGCTAATCACAAAGCTTGTATAAAAAATTTATATAAAATAACCCTGGAATTGCCTATTTATGTAGGGAAAATTGGACAGTATTTCCAAACACTTCTTGCATTTGAAGACAGTATTTCCTTAAATACATAACATAACAATTTGGGTCTTTTCTAGTTGTCTTCCAGTTTGTCTTAAATTGTGAAACATCCATTAATTTGAAATATATGTTTTTCTCAGTGGAGATAACCATTTCATTTAAGCTTCCTATTGATTCTTCTCATCAACATGATTTCCTTGTTTGGATTTTTCTTATCAAATAATTTTATTAAGAGGTTTACAAGTAAGATCAGTTTCTTGGTCTTCAGTGCTGAAAGTGTAACTAAGCTATATCTAAGAATGTCAGTGGTAGGATGCTGTATTAAATAATACAAGGGCAGGATCTTTGTCTTAACCACTGCACTATCCCTAGTTATTGACAAGTAATAGGCAGTCTGTAAATACTGTTGTAGATGAATAAAAAACTGAAAGAGTAGAGTAGGAAGTGCATTGAGAGTTGGGAAACGCTTGCATTGGTCATGGTTTTAAAAATGTATTTGGAGGAAAAGAAGAATGTTAATATGTGTTGTGCATCTAATTGAAGGATACCAGCAATAGATTTAGATCTGTTTAATGCCAGTGTGCCTTTTGAGAAAAAGAACCTAAGATAAAATAAAAGTCTGTGCGTGCTGGAGAGACAGAAATGTGGAGAAGCCCTGAAGTGCTTTGGTTTTGCAGAGGGTAATCCTTATGTTAGGTAAGGTGAAACAAGGAGGTCAGGGTACCTCCTTTTAGATCTAGATCTGTTTGTTGGGGTAATATTTGGTCATCTATTGGCAAGATTACTTTATTGGACAACTGTAAAACAAGGTAGTAGAGAAACTGATATGCTGTAAGAAAAGTCAAACTGATTTTTGTCAGTTGGCACCCACTTGACCATCCAAATTGGCCTTAACTACACCCCTCCAGATATGTGAAATGATAAGATAGGGAGATGTGGTTCCTTGTTCTTTGTAATAGCACCTGAGTGCCAGAGTCAGAAGAGTTTAATGACCTTAACTAACAAGTTCCCTGTTTGGTAATTTAGATTTAAGTTATATTAGTGTAGATAAGTTTGAAAAGTAAACAATGTAAACACAGAAGCAGACCTATTCAGTGACCTCAATTTTAGCTCTCAGAAGATTAGCATGTCTAAATACTCTGTCAGTCAAGTGCTGCTTCCATAGGTCTTAATCCCATTAGGGAGGGGAGATTAGTCATTCTTTAATATGAGGTGTGAGTTAGGCACTTGAAATAAACTTCCCATTTGTGTTTTGATGGTTATCTGTTGACTGAGTGAAAATTGAGTGAACCTAAAGACTTGTGAGTATGTGTTAAGACAGGAGCCCATTTATAGCCAACATAAAAGGTCATTAACTTGCTGTTGTATGCCACATTTAGCACCCCATTACTTTGTTTTCAAACAGTTTTTAGGGTTACTAAGTTATTCATGAAAAATAATTAGGGGAGATTGGCCATAGAGTTAACTCAAATATTTTTTGAATAACTGAATACATTAGTTGAGGATTTAGTCTATTTCAGTCAATAAGTTTGGAATTACATTTAATCAACTTAATATACGGTGTTTGGAAAAATGGGGCAGGGAAAATACCTGTGATGAAAGAATATTAGAAAATATTGTTTATAATTTGAGGCATAGGGAAGGCCTTTAGGGGAAAAAAAGTTGATAGATTTGACCACATAAGGCATTTAATTTAAAAACTTCTCTGTGACAAAGATAGAGTAAACTAAGGTTTAAAGACAAATATCAAGTTGGGAGAAAATATTTGCAGCGTATATAACAGTACATTAAGAACTCATTAAAGCAATGTGAAAAAAATAGAAAAATAAGCAAAGGATGTGAACAGGCAATTACAGAATAATTTTAAATTGCCACCTTAAAACAGTTAAAAAATTAACTAAAAAATGGGTCAGAAACCTAAATTAGGAGCTAATAATACTATACAATTCCGTTAGAGAAAACGGGAAAATCTTCACTGAAGTTGGATTTGGTGTAGTGTTTTCCTAGATGTGACATCAAAAGCACAGGTAGTGAAAGAAAAAATCGATAAATTAGACCTCATCAGATTTAAAACTTCTGCATCACAGGACACTATAGAGTGAAAAGACAGCACACAGAATGGGATGAAATGTTTGTAAATCATGTATTTGGCAAGGGATTAATATTTTGAATATAGAAGTCCTATAACTCAACAACAGAATGAAACAACCCAGTTCAAAATGGGCAAAGGATTTAAATAGCTACTTCTCTAAAGAAGGTATTCTAATGGCCAGTAAG